ACTTGGGGTGAAAGAACCTGTTCTAAAGGAGTGCATCTTCTGCAGAACTAAACACTCGAGAGGCCTCACCACCAAGTGTCTGGCAAGCTTAATATGCACAAATAAGATAACAATGCCTAGCATTTATACTTTTCCAAGTGCCCAAAGGGCTTTAAAAGCATTCTCCACAAACCTTAGCAACCCTGTAAAGGAGGCTATTATAACCATGCTGCCAACTAAGGCTCTGAGTCAGTGACTTGTCTAAGGATACCCAGATTATTCCTGGCTGGGAGGGGGGATGTGATGCGGCTAAGGGCAGTTTCCCTTGGGTGATTGTTTATGCATGGGCTTGCTCCTAGGTGCATTGGTGGTCATTTAGTGATTTTGCTGTTTTATGTTGTATTTATTTGGTTATTATATTTATTTAATATTTTGTTGACCGCTTTGGGAGCCTTTGGGTAAGAGAGCACTATATAAATAAAGAACAGCAACAGGTGTATAGTCAAGTGATTTGGAGACTTCATGTATTTTTATTTTGTGTTTTAAAGATGTAAACTGCCCTGTGATTTTCAGAAGAAGGGTGGTATATAAACTCAATAAATGAAAATAAATAAAACTCTCCTAGCTGCTACACTGTAGTAGCTTTTGCAGGAGCAAAATGTAAGAATGTATTTTATGCAGACCACCACTGTGAGCTTGACTGCCCAAGGCAAACTAAAAATGTTTTTCATCACTTGCTAGAGGAATCTACTGCACTGTTGCTCTCCTGATGTTCTTAGTTAAGTTTAGAGATGCTGAGCCTCTTGAAGCAAAAGCAGTGTCTCTGGGATAGCATCCTGTATTTAAAGCAGTGTGGGAGAAAAGCAAAGCCCCGATTCTGTGGAAATGTGTCAACAAATAGTACAGAAGAGAACTAATGAGGCAGAATCTTTAGGGCTGTTTCACATGATCTGGTTCCACTTCATTTCAAAAGTGCTGTTCCACAATTGTGGCAGGAAACGGCATAAATTAAATTGCAGACTGAGAAATCCATCGGCCATTTTCTCGGCTGTACCTCACTTTCCCCAGCTGGTGTGATCACAAGAATCAGAGCATGACCTGCTTTGCACAAACATTTCCCCATCTGATCACGGGCACATGTATGATTGAACAAGAACGCCAGCTGTTTGAAAGTATGGGAATTTTAAATTTCAGCTATGGAAATCAAGCCTAAATAATAGGAAATGTACTCTGTTTAATGATGGTGCAGCTGTTTGGATTCATGTTTTATAGAAGGCTCAAGCCAAAATGAAATGCAGTGTCAAAACTATATGGTGTTCAATATAATTCCCTTTTTGCTTTTAGTCTAATGACAGAGCTGATAATTGAAAATGAAAACAATATAAAATTGGCAGATGGAACAACCAGTCTATAAATATACGTTGTTTTTGAAATTGAAGGTTTTCTTTCAGTGGTATCGTTTAATTTCCATTTTTAGGCAGTTTTATTTAGTGGCTATCTTTAAATACTATTGAAGTTCTTAGATGCTATTTTTGATTAGATTGTTTTTCAGTTACTCTGTTTTTGTAATCCTATGTAGTTTGCCCAAAAAAGGCGGGAGGCCTAGATACAGTATTCTAAGAAATATATTTTAACATTAATCTAGACATGCATGGTTGTACTTAAATCATTGAGAATAAATATGGAACATCTTTTGTACAGTCCTTTGCTACCCTCTAGTGTCTAACAGGCTGCACTTCTAGTCCTAACATTTCCATGTAACACTATTGAAGTTTGGAATGTCTGGATTACTACATTGTGATATAACTAGGAGCAATTAATTCAGCAAAGTGGGACACATTTCTAAGCTTGCAAACTTACTTTTTAAAAATCCATGTTTTTATTCTCATTTTGACTCTGCAACAGAAAATACAATAATCTGGCATCATGGACCAGGGTCATAGTTCAGTGGCTGAGCATCTGCTTTGCATGCAAAAGGTACCAGGTTCAGTCCTTGGCATGTCCAGGTATAGCTCTGGCTGAAATCTCTTTAAGGTGAGGTCAGACGGCCCTCTCCCTGTGGAACTTCTGGTGCCTACTGAAGACCTTTTTATTTATTGCAGCAGGCATTTTAATTGAATTGTAATTTTATAGTTGTAACTAATTTCTAGCTTGAGTGTACTGAGTTTTTTAGTATACCCCTTTAGATACACCTGAAATTACAAATTGTCAAAATAATCAAGTAGCAGACAATCCTGGACTAGATAGACAAAGTCTTGACCTGGTATAATATGTTCCTACTCTATTCTTCCTTCTCTTGTTGGCTTGTTCCCTGTTGGTGTGGCTTTTTAGCTCTTTCTTTAGGAACATAAGAAAAGCAAACTGGACCAGGCCAATTGTCTACCTAGTTCAGCAAGCTGTCTTTGAAGTGGCCAAATAACTATGGGAAGGCATATGTATTTTCTGCTTCCAGCTTCTACCCCATTTGCCTCTTTCTAGTACTTTTATCAATGCTATTGCTCCTTCCATTGCACCCATGGCTCTTTAGCTATTTTCCCTTCCCCAAGAGCTATGCTGTCTCATGCTCTCTTTTTCCTTCATCTATCCCAGTCTCATTTTCCTTTATTGCAATGTTTTGCCCACAAAGCTTTAGTTTGCACTTGGTTTGAATGAGGAAGTTGAATACAGCAGACTGTGATCATGAGACTTTCTGACCAACAAGGTAGTTATTTGGTTTTTTAATGTGTCTGTTAAATTTTTGAGTTGTTCAATGGTTGCATTCCTTTACACACTATTAATAGACACCTTGGAAAGGCAGGATATACGGTAAGTTTCCCAACAATTAGGTGGCATGATATCTATGAAATTGTAAAAGAAATACCCTAAATGGGGGGATGGACAGGCATGCATTACTATGTCCAGTGTTTTTTTTCTGGGGGGGGGGGACACAGGGGTATGGATACCCCTGAACATTTTGTGAATCTTCGTACTTTTGTCCATTTACTGTATTTCCCCCAATTTTGAACTATAAAATGGTGATTTTCTTGAGTCAAAATGAGAGTACCCCTAAACATTTTTTTTAAAAAAGCACTATGTCCACTTCTGCTCGTCCCTTGTTTTTTTTAAAAAATGTAAAATTCAAGAAATATGAAAAAGCGAGAGGCAAGCCAAACAAAAGCATCATTAAGTTGATTTTCTTTCCACGTTTGAACTTACTATTAGCAGTGAGCATGAAGAAAATGTAAGTCATTCTTAGGATTTTTGATCGCTTTCACTTGCACATCTTTTAAAGAAAGCCGTCTGCTGTGCCCACTCCCCAAAAAATCCTCCAAATAAATGTACAGTATTGTGCTTCTGTGCATAATTGACTTGGTATCCTGTTGGGGTCGATAAAGTATATCTCCATCCTTTGCTCTTCTTCAGCTGAAAGATGTTCCCATAGTGGCTACTCTGAAGGTGTAGGGTCTAATCTGGTACTAGAGTTCTAATCTAACACTACCTCTAACACCTTACTGGCACATCTTGGGTAGATGGTTCTGCTTCTTGCTTCTTGTTTTCTGCTTGTATGTCAAAGCTCGTCATCACTTCTGTCTTAAGCAACCATAGTTTCCTTTCTTTTGCCATGGGGGCAGGGGCACACATCACTGTTCAATGTTGGCGTTATTTTAAATAGCATTAAAAGACAGGCAGGATGTAACTTGTTACAAATAAGAGAAATAGAAGTATTTCTGACTTAGTGTGGCAATACTGCACTGGAAACGTCACAATACTGTATATTGCAAAAAGCAATTTTAAGATGAGCAGCTTATGACAATGTGTGCAACTTCCGTTTGAAGCTGGAAGCAATTTGGTTGGCATGCAAAACTCACCTTATTTCTTCATCTTTCTCCAAGTTTGCTTTTTTTATTTCCCTTCTGGCCTCATCAACTTATTTGGAGTCATTTTGAAAGAAATGCAGCGCGCACATTAAAATGTTGCTTCAAACATGTACTTCAGCCATGTAGTACTACAAGTAGCGGGAAGGTGGCAGCGTTGCACTGCATTTCTCCACCACTTAAGATATTTTAACGAGATACAAAAGTAATATTCAAAAGTCAAAAAGTCTCAACAGCTCAGCATTTTAATCTACTTATGAAAGAGGAAAACATGATTTGCATGAGGATAAAAATCCACATTTGATCTAGAGAAGAAAAATGCTTTTTGCTTAAGTTTTCAGGCCCACTATTGGGTTAATTCAACATTCCTTATGATAGCTAAGGGACAAAATAGATGTGGCATTGATTGCATTATTGGCCCTCGTATGCTTTCTTATTTTGTTACTAAATAGCAGCTGTGGGAGGAAGGCAATCCAGGTTAAGACCATGGATGGGAGCAAACCATGGGCATGATACAGATAAGACCCTACACCTTCAGTTGCTATTTACTTCTTGTTAAAAGCAGAGAAGGAACCAACCATGTGATTAGCATGATGTCTGAATTCACCTGAGCTCCACTGGAATTCCTTAGAGGCCATTTAGTTTCCTGGTGTATATTAGGTCTCTATACCTGTCAGAAGACATTTTAAATACATGCAACAGACTTCAGAGTTGCCCAGTATGGGCCTGGTTCTGTCCCAATAAAAACTGTACCAATTTAAAAGGAGACAAACTTTCCCATTTCAAGAGTGCCTGTAGTGGCAGAATTCTCTCTTCAAAATCAAACTGCACATACAGAATATTATTTTGCTGGTAGTTGCTACTATGGTCTTTAATGGGACAGGGAAATTTTTAAACAGTTGCTCAGCACTTCACAAAACTAATGAAAGGGTGCCTTCCTTGATAAGCCTGAATAAAATACACCAAGGGTTTTCTCCAAAATTTGAGCTTATTTTATTAATTTTGCTATTTCCCTTCAATTAAGGAAGCCCTGAATGCCAGTATTTTAGAGAACAAGTGGTAGATTTCAAAATTAAGTCATCCTCATTGCTAATTTTAGCAGGGCAGGGAGAGTTTAGTAACATAAGAACTCCTGCAAACCCAACCATTTCTGTTTGCCATTTGCAGTGGGAAAAACTACAGATGACAACAAGTGAGAGGAGGAAGATTGTCTGCTCAGTCACATTTCACATTATTGCTATTACCTGCGTAGTTTGGTCACTGTATGTACTAATAGATCGGACCGCTGAGGAAATTAAGCAAGGCAATGACAATGGTGAGTGTATTTATCATTTTCTTTCTTTGTGTTCTTAGGTAGTATGATTTTAGAAATGGAGACAGAGCAAAACTGTAAAGGCAAGTGAGCGCACAGAACCAAAAGCAACAGTTTCAAATGGGAGCATTCACCCAACTTCCCTAGTTCCAGCGTTCTGAACTTTGGCTTTTACATAAAAGAAGCAGGTTTCTAGCCCTTTAGGCCCCAGGCAACAGGTTTCAAAACATGTGGCCAATGTCTAGTGAAATTGCAGGCGCTGCTTAGGGTGGGAATTCCAGCATCTAGGGGGGTTTGATTTCTCTGCATTGCTCCCCACCCCTGCTGACAGAGCAATTATTCAAAATGGAGTCGCGCTGCATGCAGGTGGACCCAGGCTCAATGACCAGCACCTCTACATAGGGCTGAGAATGTCTCCAGTCTGAACCCCCAAAGGGTCAGTGTAGACAACGCTGAGCTAGATGGACAAATGGTCTGAGGCCCCTTCCTATGTTTCTAAAATAAAGCATATGCTGGCATGGTTAACATGATTTATCTATTCTCAGAAGACGTTCTGACTTTACAAAGCAGCCCTGGCTACTTCGTAAAGTGACTTATCTTTAGGATAGCCACTGGGTGTCATGATATTCCAAAGACAAGCAACTGAGTATATCTACATGAAACAGACACATTGAGTATCACTGTGCCCAAGATTGCTCTGAAATACAATTTCCAACGTTGCATTTTTCCTTTTAAAAATGTATATATGCATGCCTTATGAGATCCTGCTAGGCAAAAAAATAAATGAAACAAAAATGATATTTTACTGATGTGTTTAACATTTTCATACACCCAGTAAAACTGCCCTCGGCAAGCTTAAATTATGCAGTGGCAAATTATACATTTGGCATTCAAATAGGCAAGATTCTTAATCTCAGCGGCATAAGAGCATTTTAAAAGTTATATCCTGCAGGAAACAATTTCTCTTCTAGCAAATCTTAACTCACTCAAAAGAAATATCTCCTGGGTAAAAGGATTTTCTGTAAATAAATGTTAAAAAGAAATGCTCTGCCCAAAGTAGTGACTTGAAGGACCTAAAAGTCAGTTGCAAATGTGGGTATCTGACAGGGGGTGACCCCCAAATAAGTGATTTCCACATCCAGTTTAAAACTTAAAGAGGCCTAAGGGACCCATTTAATCCAGTGTCCTATTCACAGTACCCAACTAGATTCCTATGGGAACTCCATAGGCAGGATATGACAGCCTAGAGCTTCTCCCCCTTCTAATCTCATGGAATTGAACCCTTTCACATGAATGTCAGGAAAGTTTAGCTTGCATGCATGAGCAAATAATTATTCTTTCTGTTCAGTACAGGCAAATTCATTACTGGGCACCCTCCTATATCTAAAACCATAATATTAAGAAAACTTCAGAGCTTCACTGCTCAACACGAGGAGGCCTTAGGAACTGAGCTGGTAGGGGGAGTCTTTGCAGCCTCCATGTGTCAGGAGGTTTCACTAAGCGCAATTTAGAAGTAAATAGCAACTTTGCAGGGAAATGAAACAGAAATATTAACTCTACCTCTTTCACCCCCTTTTTAACTCTGAAAGGTGTGCTGGAGTGGCCATTTTGGACAAAATTGGTTGTGGTGGCCATTGGGTTCACGGGAGGCCTTGTCTTCATGTACGTGCAATGTAAAGTCTACATTCAATTGTGGCGAAGGCTTAAGGCTTACAATCGAGTGATATTTGTTCAAAACTGTCCAGACACTGCCAAAAAACTAGAGGAGAAAAATTATTCCTCCAATCAGAACACTGAAATCAAAGACTCCGTAGTGGTGCCAGTATCACAGACAGGTACAAACTCTCAGCAATCAGGAGAAGAAACTGTTTCTGATGTGATGCCGGTTTGATGGAAGCTGCGTTTCTCTTTCTTTACTGAAGAACAAAGTAATGTGCTTTCCTACTGTTCAGCCACATTAAAACAGCAAAACCACTAAGTAAATTTGAAGGAAGAACAAATGGGGAAATCGATCAAGAGAAGTTACACGTTACCTCCGGAATGTAATTGTGAAGTGGCTAAGCATAGTGAAAATGCAAAGAAGAAAGCGCATCAGAGATGACTTTCGAACAGGCAAACGAACATGGCAAGTACCACTGTTGATGGCTGAAAAGAGCTGCATATGCAGATTTGCTACCAGTGTTCTGTTTACAAGGAGAAAACCCTTACATCTATTTGTTACTATGGTCTTTTTTGCTAATTATCGTAATCTTGGACACACTCTCTTCAAGGCAATTTTTTAAAACAATTCATATTTACCCTTAAAGTCATGCAAAGAGATTTGCACCATAGCACAAAGTATCTGAACCTCGTAATGTGATAATTTTGCAAAGAGGTGGCTGACCTGCAGCATATATGGTTTGAAGGCGATATGAAGGAAATCCTTTCCAAAAGTTACCATTGAAAACGTATGTTTAAAATGTGAGTATTTGTAAACTAGGTAGCTGAAAATATCCCTTGTATGCACAAATGATCATTTTCTTTCACATTTTTATATTCATTTGGTGCAGCAATTTGACTGCTGCTTATTCATAAGAGCTAAAATTGACAGAATATTCCTGCCACCTCCAAAATTCTGCTAAAGGGTAATATGTTCTATAATCAGAGGTATATTGCAGACAGAGCAGCAGGAAACTTTGAAAACATGTTTTTAGTACTTACATATTAGTGTGTAAAATATGCAAAGGGTGGGAGATTAAATTCTATTCTTTTGTTTAAGAGATCAGGATAGAACAGATTCAGAAACTTGTTAGGACAATATTGAAAGAGTCAAAGTAGGCAGCATTACCCATATGCCAGTATCTCTCTGACGTCCACTAAATTGACAAAGTATGTGGTACCTTCTATACAGGAGTAAAGCTGAATCATTAATGGTTCAGTAGTTCAGTTGTTACTATTGTGGTTTTAGCATAGTAATGTAAGACTGAAGTGTGACTAAATAGAAAATGCAGAAGATATATATCAGTATCATGTTGTACCCAGCAGGGATGACTTGCATGGGGGGAAAGCCAATAACTTTGGCATCCCATTTCAGAATGATGTACCTCAGCAGACTAAATGATTGGATGTCCTAAAAAGAAAGGGCACTGCGCCTGTCCTTATACCACTCTTATGCTTGTTGAATGTATTGTGAGTTGTGCCCAAGTAATGTGAGTTATACAAGAACAGTGTTACTAGTAATGAGAGGAACTTATGGTGGCAAACTGCAGTGGATTAAGTAATTTTTAAAAAGGACTACATTTCATATTTCATACTTATAAAACACAGTAAGACATAGATTCTGAAAAGACTCAGCAGATGTATGTGATGGATCAGCTGAGACATTGCAAAAAGCACATAGCCTCCTTAAAATTAATGGGCCTTTCCCCAGTGAATTTCAGTAGTTGAAATAAGGCCTCTCTTATTGGAATCATGGCACTAGTTTGGAAACTTTAAAATGAGATTATGTAAGACAATAGTTTAGCAAAAAGAGTTGATAATGGGGATCTTGAAGAAATGCATTTTAACATTTAAACTGCCAGATGAAGGAGCCACACAAATTATTTGTGGGGTTTAGAACACTGTGTATTTGAACAGAGATCATAGGAGGGACCGAACAAAAATAAGATCACAATAAAATTAATTCCAAACTGGGTGGTTCATATCCATTTCACTAAGAAAAAGACACACACACACACATCCAGATATAGTCGAACTATAAACTGAAGTGATAGCTGACCTGGTGATTTTCTGCCCAGCTATAGCCATTTATAATAATGTACCATTGCTTTGCATAAACAGCTGACTTCTGTGATATAAATACTTTAAAAGATAAGGCAGCTGCAGCACATCACACCATACTGGACAGGGCACAATATAAATTGCTTACTGAATTCCACTAAAATGCAACCAAGTCTCAATGCAACCAAATCAACAATGTTTCATCTTTAGGTCCCCATGCATTTAGCAAATTAAAAGAAGGCCAACTGATCATTTCTCCCAACAGTGTAGCAATCAAGCACTGGATTCATGGAGATGGGCATGACTATAAATCACAATGCATAGGGCAAAAATAATTTTTTTATCACCAGAAGGAGACCATGTTTTCAAGACATACTAGTGACTTGGTTGCATTGCTTAGAAGCAAGATCTTTTCCTTTTTAAGATGATGCTTCTGAAATTCAGTGCAGCTGGCTGAAGCAGCTATGAAGGAATAGTTACCACTTTTTTTTCACGAAATGGAGATGCCAGTTGTCACACACATAGTGTTATCTGTCTTTTCTAGTGCCAGTTAATAGATGACCATTAGAGATATCAGAAGTTGTATCAAAGAAAATGTTTACATGGTGGAATAAGGTTACCCTTAGAAAACAAAGATGATGAAAAGTTAACAATGAGGTAGTGTTAAATGCCAAATTATTTGTCTTCATCAACTCTGTATGGGGCTATCAGGGGTGTTCCCCTATGGATTGTTCTATTAGCTTTACAAGCATAACTAAGCAGCCTACTGGTGCTATTGCCACAGCTGGAAAACAGTCAATAGTTTGGTTCTAAAATGTGTACATCAGTACACCACTCCACCACCAAAATTAGCAGTCAAATTTTGAAACTTGCACTGCAATGCAATCTACGATGCAAATATTTTACTGTGTATATTGTTGAGACCCAAAAGCTATGTTACTTGTTTTACCCAGTTCTCTTTTGCAAAAGAGCTTAGATGCTTTTGTGGGTGACTTGTGTATTAAAAAGGTATTTGGGATGGGAAAGAAACTTAATATAAACTACTAATTGTTGTGGAACAAATTTGTATTTGTATTAAACAGATGCCTCTAGGCGTTACTTGTAAGTCATTTGCTTTTAAAGTGCAATCATATATGTTGATAATATGGACTGCCAACCCTTTCCGAGCCAATGGATGCATTTCAAATTTTGAGAAAATGATGTGGCAACTTGGGGCAGGGGCGTATGTGGCATTACACAACAAAGCTGCTAAATCTAAAGAGCAGAAAAAGATAACAAGGCCACAAAATGGTAAGAGACATCCCACCACGCACGCACCACCTATGGAGAAAAGAACATTTCACTGCCCATCTCCTCTGCTCAAAATGGAAAAGAGGGAGAGTATCCAATCTTGACCTGTTTAAGGGGGCATGTTCAGTGCACAACAGGCCAAGCCAGCGCAAACGGGCACTGAGCAAGAGGGCCAAGTGGTCATACACTCTGGATTTTTGAGGGCACTGCAGGAGGTACTGGCACCCACAAATTCTGCACTGGTAAAACCTGAAAGCTGCCACTGCACGGTGCCAATTTTATATAACAGTCTTATCTAGGAAGAAGGGAGGTAGGGTGGCAAGGAGACACCAGTTCTCAAGAATGCACCATGTTAAGCATCCTCCTCCTAAACCAAGGATGAGTGCTTAACCACTGACCCTCCAGATGTCACAGAACCCCAACTCCCAACAGCCCCAGACAGCATGGCTGACTGGGATGCCAGGAGTTGGGACTCGGACAACATTTGGAGAGTCACAGATTAGCCATCCCTGCCCTAAACCTACTGAACAACATCCTGAAAGCACATGATAAAAATGGATCCATTTCAGCCAAAATAGACATTATAGCAACTCTCCAGGAAAAAACCAGCTGGGAAGAACCTGTCAAAAGGAGTAGCTTTTTCACCCTTCCCTTCTCCTGCTGCTTTAAATAAATTCAGCAAGGTCAGAGTACCCCGCATCTAGTTGCTGCATCTATGAACTTGAAATATTTTAATGTTTTTCAAAAGACAATGATGCAACATCTTCTTACTACATCATGAATTGAAGGCTAAATTACAGTGCTGGTCATCGTCAAGATAGCTGGGTCCTGTCACATTTACACTCAAAATGTGATTTAGTCTAGCTCTAACTGAACATTAAAATAGCAGCTTGGCAATTTGCTTCAACTGTCATTTCCCATACCAGCAAGCATTTGTTTCTCTGCATCCTTTGCTGCATCCAAGTCCATCTCAGCTTCAACTGTTGCCTTCTTAGTTAAACTGCTCAGAGCATCTTTACTGGATATCTTCCTCATTTTAATGTTTGGTAGCTTCTGCAAATCACCATCCCAGGTACTGTGAAGTAGGGAATGGAGGGGAAATGACGGTAGTTTAGACCATGGAAACCACTGCTAATCAAACATTTCTACCAGTGAATTTAAGGTGTTCCGCCTTAAATTAAGGACTTGGGAGTGACCAAACTTTGTTCTGACATGCAGACTGCCCCACACTGACATCCCCCGCCCCCGAACTGCTACAGCATGAGTGAGTTTAAATAAGAAAACAACTCACCTGAATGTTTTAAGGTGCTTAGAGTTCACAATGTCAGGGATCTCTGTTGGAAACAGAATAAAAACCAAGATCATCCAACCATTTCTAAATAGAAATTTTGATTTGAGACACTTTAAAAGGCTAGCTGAAGGACCTTCTACTTCTGGTTCTGATAGTATGAAAGAGACTAATCAATTTGCTCTGACACTTAGTACCTAGAAGAAAGTGAGAATTTCCACACACCCGCCCTTCAAAAAACAGAAAACAAATACTGGACTCTTGCCAGGAGTTCTGTCTATTATGAAAGAAAGAATTATTAGGGAAAGCATCTTTAGCACCAACCTGTTAAGAACTACTGTACATCAAGGGAGGGTGCTTCTTTTGAGAGCTTTTTGAATTTGACTAAACCTCAATGATCTTCGTGCATGTATCAATGGTGATAATGATAATACCTCACTTCTGACTCCTTTGTCCAACAGTTTACAGCTGTGGTCATATTACTGGTCACATACTAAATCTTACAGTATCTCCAAATGCACAGCACCATAGATTATATAACATCTGTGCTCAGAGATTCTGAAACAAAAGAAAACCTTGCCAGATAGTGCACTTCATCTACTGAATTCTCACCATTTTTCTACTGATTATACTACTTAGAAAGGTCAAAATCATAGCAACTCCAGATGTTTTCAGCTACAACTCCTCTTGGCCCCAGTCAGCCCCCTCCCCACAGTTTGGAGAACACCTGGTTGGGGAAGGCTGCACTGAAATGAAGTGCTAAGCTGCTTTAGATGTCTCAAGGTCATGCCCCTAACAAAGAGCAAAAATAGAGCAAAAAACAAATTGTTTAAAAGAAAGCTACCATTAAAAGCAGGGCTGTAATTCAATTGAAGACACTTTAAATTGATCATATGAGTGTCAGTTGACTGATTAAATTTGCATAGGAGTGTTAGTTGGCTGATTAAATTTGTATATAATTAATAAACATTATTTCTGAAGCAATAATACTTCCCCCTCCTTCATTTTGGATGAAACAAGTATTACAGCAAGCGGTCTTAGAAGAAGCATATCTCCTGTGTTTGACACAAGGGAGAATGCTTCAAGGTGGTGCTTGCCGTATGGAGTTTCTAGAAACACTCCAATCAGGGACACCATTTTAGTTGATTGAAAGCTTTTAATGAAACCACTCCTAATCAGAGAAGTATATTTCTTTGTCAAATAGAACTAGCTCATTTGAGAATCCACTGAAGTAAGACCCATAAGAAGCAGGTGTCACAGCCTTCTTGCAATTTCAGGGAGCAGATTGGGGCAGAGTAGGGTAGTCCAGTGTTTCCCAACCTTGGGCCTCCAGCTGTTTTTGAACTACAATTCCCATCATCCCTGACCACTGGTCTTGCTAGCTAGGGATGATGGGAGTTGTAGTCCAAAAACAGCTGGAGGCCCAAGGTTGGGAAACACTGGGTAGTCATACTAGCAAATTGCTCATTCAACATAGGTGATCGTGAGAAAGGTAGAGCAGAAAAAAAATTATCAGTGCAGAACGAACACTCTTGACATTGAGAGCATTAAAGCATGCAGTTCCCAATTTGACTGCTGCATGAGATTATTCTGATGGACGCTTTGACACTAATTATATATTGCAATGTTCTGACTGAATTAACACTAAACTGTCCATTGTCTAGTAGTTGATTCATACAGCCATTGTGTGTGTCAGGGGTGTAAGATTTTGGATTTATTTTGCTGACATCACCATGCAGTTCCCCAAAATGGAGCTATTAACAGCCAAGAACAGAGTGCTTGAAAGCCCAAACTGCTCATGTACCATACTGACGGAAACAGGAAGGGGAAAGATAATCTTTTCAGTAAAACCTACTAATTCAGTTTTGCCTTCAGCCATTAACACAGTGCAGCAAAGGAAAGTGAAAAAATGATGCATGGAAAGTAACATCAACCACATGTTTGGGGGTTTGATATACTAGGGCAGGTATAGAAACTCAGGGAAGGTCACAGCATCTCTTTGGAAACCCCTGTCTCCAATTGCCAGAAAGCCTCTGATCTTTAGGCAACACCTGCTCATTTGCCTGGACAGCCCAGTTTGTTACTGTACTATTTTTTAAAAAAAACATATGCAGCTTGCTGAACAAACACTTGTGTTGTGTGAGCTGCCAGCACACCACACTCTCAACTGCAGTAGTGCTACTGCTCACCTGGACCAGGATGGGGTGTGACAGCAAAAGCAGAGGAGTAAAAGGTAAAGGACCCCCCAGATGGTTAAGTCCAGTCAAAGGCGACTATGGGGTGCAGCACTCATCTCGCTTCAGGGCGAGGGAGCCGGCGTTTGTCTGCAGGCAGCTTTCCGGGTCATGTGGCCAACATGACTAAACCGCTTCTGACACAATGGAACCCTGTGACAGAAGCCAGAGTGCATAGCAGAGGAGTACCAGGTCGATGGCAGTAGTGACAGGAACAGATGTGTGGGCACTTGCAAGTCTTGCCACCAATCTTGTGATTTCCCTGCCCTCACTGCCATGCCCCAAACTGGCTCCAGGGAGTGGTTGGGAGGGCAGTGCGCCACCACACACCATGACAACATAAAGTGAGACAGTTTGCTGATTGCTTAACACCTACAAATCTTGGAAGGACACATAAGCTTTCCTATTTTGCTGCTTTTACAAGTCCTGATAGTCTTATTTTTCTCTTCCCAAAAGGGATGAGAAACTTTATCTTCGGCAAGAAAAGAACTAATTAAATCAAGCCTACATAAATTCTCTCTCATTAAGAGAAAGGAAACTGCAGGGTGGGGGGAGACTTTCTGGAGATGCCAAAGGTTTTAAAACTAAGTAAAGCTACATGGTCTAAATGACTTCTAGATTTTAGACTGCAGGCTCTAATTACACTATCTGCTGCAACAATTTTCCTTAAATTGAAGCTCGGTACAGACATTGTGCCAACATCCACAGCAGGAGCATTAACAAGGAATGAATGATTGGAGGTTACCTTTAACAAGGAAAGGGCCACCAACAAATCACACTTTCTGAATATTGCTGAGGTGTATTTTTAGTTTGTATACAACATGCAATCTTTAAAATGAGTTTTCACTCTGCTTCTTGAATAATACAGAGTTGCCTGTCTTGTGTCTGTCTGTTTACTCTGCATTTGGAAACCTTAAGATAGTGTAACCAAATTTTGCACAGTGGGTCCTGAGATCAAAGGCAGGTTTTCATCTACGTTTAGATACAAATGGATGTCATTTTTCATCAAGATGGCAGACTAACCCTCTCAAAACTGCACTGCCTTTTTTTTATTCCTAGGATTCCCAAGCAACTCAAGTATCTACTCACCAGCTTCCCCCCATGGAGATTCTAACCCACTATTGTGAAGGCCATGTGAGATACAACTGCATTGGAGAGGGGAGGGTGTCACACAGTAAATTAAAGGAAAATAATGCTAAGGAAACTGTTGCAGGTTATGGAAGGGGGTTATGTCCAAAAGCAGAAATCCAGTGAACTATTGCCCTGTATAAAGTTCTGATTTGCCTGCAAGAAATTA